TTGAACAGTGTCATGTATAAAATGGCACACATATGGATGTTAAAGAAAACAGTACATGCTTCGGATTGTTTCCCTTGTGTACTGCCTAACCCCCACAAGAAAGACCCAAGTGGAAATAAGTCAGACTTATTCTTGGAGTTCACACCTCATAAATCCAAACAGAGAATAGTAAAAACAAATCCTTACCAGTCTGGAAGCGTATCTTCGTACACGAAAAAACATGACTACTATAAACGTAGGCAGAAACTCCCAGAGAAATAAAATGCCACCAAATGTAATATATCTGTATCCTTTTAAGTTCAAATAGTCAGCCTAAAAAAATGCAAGATAAATCATTTCAACGCATTAAAAATGGTTAATAATTTGTAAATGTGCCATTTACTATTAACAAAACTACAGTAACATTTACAACTAGACTTTGTTTGTATAACAGAACATAGGGATTTTTCTCATTGCCATGAGAAGCCAATACTTGCTACGAACCATCCAATTACCAACTTTCTATTACAGTATATGAAGAAAATTTGTGGTGATGACATCATTAGGAACAAATTTTCTCACTACAAAAGCACTAATACTTTTGAAATTTGGATGTTGTGTATGATCCAGGGGCGGATTTAGGGGGAAGCCGGCCCGGCCCCGGCCCCCCTCCCTTTTGGGAGGTAAAAAAAGGGAAAAAAAGAGAGAGAAAAAGAAAAAAATGATAGCCCAGAATGCTTCAAATGTTATGTTCGGTTGTCTAGAACACAAAAATTTCACAGGGCCATGCCCCGGACCCCTACGACAGTGTTGTCTCGATCGGCCCAACTTTTGGTCCCCCTTTTGGACATTTCTGGATCCGCCCCTGTGATCAGTATTTGCACTGACGAGGGTCCTTCCAAAATCTGCATTGCTGTTAGGGCTTAACACACTGACTGAAAGCTTTTTTTCCTAGTTCCACCTCTTGTGTCAAGGCATAAAGGGTACCATCATAATGAAAATCATTCTCATCAACTGTAATGAAAGACAAACAAACATGCAAGATTTTTTTTATCATTACTTCCGGATTCTTCTCTAAAACTTTAGGGCAAGAGTTCGTGTTATGGCGACCACCGCCAGTACATCCTTGGCATGGAGTGAGTGAGTGGACCCTGTCGGACGTGAACTTGCGGCCCAGGCAGCAAACAAGTGTTAAAATACGTAAAATTATTATTGAAAATAGCCATCAATACCTGATCAGAGACATTCAGCCAACTGTAACCAAATGAATCTTTGTCGTTATTACATGCAACAGCGACGATGTTGTATACTGTCCTTGTTAAATATAGAAACGTTATAACAACACAAGCAGTTGTGGCTTGGCATACTGTTGTACCCTGTAATTGATAAAACCAGAATAGGATTAAAGATGTAATATCAGGAGTTCAATTTCAAGACCTACCAGGTCTCATGCATCTGGCATGGGACTTACACATACAGGTAATCGGTGCGAGACTCGCACATTGAGGATCTTTCTCACGCTATCACATTTAAAGACCAAAATCTCACGCATATTGTATCTCATTTATACCAACTAGCTGCACTAAACACTGTGAATATTTTGTTATAAAGCACTATCAGATAACATCAAAGAACATGTTCATACTGCCAGCTGCTATGCGCATAGCTCAGTTCAATGTGACGGGTTAAAAGGTCTTTCTGCACACTTCAAAATTAAAACTAGCTGATTTCAGGCAAAATTTGTAGAAAATTAGATTGGTCCTATGCCGTGATTGGTTCAGATATCTGCCAACAGAGGTTCTGAGCCAATGGGCCGACTAGAAGCTTGAGGGTCCTGAATAAAAATCCCTGATAGGGTTCATGGTTAGCGTTTTTATAGGTTAGTATGGCCAAAAATTGTGTTTTATGACCACAATATTAGGGTTTAGGTTTAGGTTATCTAAATAACATTATTTGAATAGGCAAATTTATATTTCTAAATCATGGCACCACACAATTAAAATACATTATGCAGTACATTGTGGACGCCCTGTGATGTATTGATGATTATGATGTGCTTTATTTATGTAGATTTATTTCAAATCAAATTTTATTCACAAATATCGTCTCTGTAGCTTTCCAGCTAAATTGTGACTGATAATAATATACTGAGTACACGTACTGTACGACATAAAATAGGAACATGGTTACAACTACGATTATAACAAACAAAATTAACCTAATCTAAATTACAAAAAAGCAAATTGATAAAGATGAATTTGGTAAAATTGTGGTTTGGTGATGTTTTTATATGCTTTTTATGAATTTTTGAATTTTGAATAAAATACCATTATATATTTTACATCTGATTTAGAATATTTATGATGTGTGGTATAGGGCTATTTTTGTACCTATTAGTTCTGTATTTTGGTATAAATTTAAATTATAATTCTTTGAACAGTTTACCAATACTTACCCTAGCTTCTAGTAAAACATTTGCTGATGTCATTCTAGCTAATTTCCATATGCAAATTGACAAAGCGATCCCGCCAGTGAAAAACAAAATACCGCTTATAATCACTCGAACATGTACAATTTCTATTTTGTGCGAGCTGTACTTTTTAATAAGCAGCACAGCTGATAAATTGACGAAAAAGAATGTCACAACTAAAAATGCAATACAAGTTCTGAGGAGACGCTGTTTCCTCTTGTATTTTTCTGGTTCATATCGTACTTTCGCTTTGAAAACAACCTGAAAGAGATCAAAAAGATATTTGGCTAAATAAATAAAGTAATTAAGAAAGTACAACTTTAGGTAAATGCTTTAGAAAAATGATGAGGGCAGTTTTGTATTGTTTTACCATGTACACATATACTTTGTATGTGTTGGGCACATCAGACGACCCCCTATTTTTATATCGCAATTGCTATAAGCCTCATCTTATGCATGAGGATATACGGTATACATGTAACTACTAACCCTAATGTCCCAAGCTGAGAGAAGTCACTTCCGAGAGACCTGGTTTAATCAAGTTTCTTTAAAAAAACCAATTATATTTTGCTGCACTAGACAACTGTCAGCCCAATTAAGGAATTGACGAAATGGTAGTAAGTTTCTGGGAGGTTTTTGCTTGCCTTTTGAAGGGCAGGAAACCCTGCCAATTTTTGGGAGATTCCTACTGTGCGAACTAAAAACCCACGTAAATGCAAATTGCCAAAAAAAAATACAGTGAGCTGCTTTTGTATAACATAAAATTTTATAATATAAAATTATACGACAATCTAAAATTAACAAATATTTTTTATACACATTTATATATAAGGGGCATTAAATTTATATATTATGTCCCTCCCATCGGGCATCCTGGTCCAGACTATCAACAGTAGTAGGCATAATGACATTGCACAGCAAATACAGTGGTAGAATCTGAATAAATACTGACAGAGGAACCTAACAGTGGCAGCATCAGCAGAGGGGCTGCGGTTTGAGCACCCCTGGACAAGTCAAGGCCAATTTTAAAAATAGGCCATCCAGAGGTCCCTATTTAAAAAAAAAAAAATTCCATAGGGAGGGATAAGGGGAGGGGGTACCTCAAGCCCCCTGTAGGACAGCTTAGCCCCCCTACCCCAGAAAATGTATCCTAGAGTCGCCACTGGACCCTACTACTAGAGTAGGCCTAGTACTTGCAAGATAGGAAATTTTCGCTCAAAATGGCATCTGCTTGAACATTCGCTTGAACTAGCCTAGGCCTAGCCTAGAATTTACTTGAAGTGGCATTTATTCTGCTTGGTTTTTCACAAATTTACAAGACTGAGTCCTAGGCTGTTGATTAATGGAGACACATGTTTCAGTATTGAAGAAACATACCTGACCAAAGTAAACAACAAGTAAACACAACGTCGTAAACTGCAGGCAAACAGGAAAACAATACAGCAGGAAATAGGGAAAGGTTTTCAAATTGTTTGCTAATTCGCAATTCTTGATGTAAAACGAAAACAATGTAGTCCGTAACGCAGCCCAAATTAAACACAAAAAAAGAAACACTGTTTGGTAGCTTTTCCGTTTGTGTCTGTAGTATAATATTAAGAACAACTGTACGTAGACGATCAAGAATAGGATACTGTACAGTGCAATAAATGTGATCGTTAGGCTTATCTTCACTGACGGCGGTATTACTGCGGGTCCCGTGGTGGGTCCCGTGATCGATGGTACAGGTGGCGGAGTCGATGAAGATCCCACCTCCTCTGTCAGATCTGACATCGTTCTAGTTTTCATTTTGTTGACAAGACGGAAGAAAATCAATTGTTTAACACATTTTAACGTACTCCTGTTTTCACTCTAAGCATGGTAAGGCATCTTCAGTGCGTTTAAAACTAGGCCTAGTATTAACCTAGTTTGGTAGCTGTTCTACCACAAGACAATCCGTATCGTAAGGTAGGTATCGTCGCGCAAGCGAGAAATGTCGTTCCAAAGAAATTGTGCAGATAATTCCACTGACCTTTGACATATATTTGACTAAATTTAACTTTCGTGTGGAGGCGTTCTTTCAATAATGAAATTGTAAAATTTACATTGAAACAGAATAAAAATAAAAATACGGTATTACGATAAAGGTTCACTGTTTTACCATGGTCGTTCTTTTTGTTTTTCCAAACCAATGCCTGATTTCAACTCAACAAAAATCCCAAATACTGTAAAACTTCGCATAGAAGCCCTTTTTGGATGCGCTTCTTTTCAAGATACATAAACCTCGAATTGAAGCGGGTGTCTATAAAACACGGACCCAAGACCCAAACACGAAGACCCCTATTTTTTCTCTTTTAGTTGATTGATAATACACCAGGCTGCCATAAAATCAAAATTACGAGATTATTTGGACGTCTGTTTGTGAAATTTTCAAGGGTCTTCATTTTATAGACACCTATAAAATTCGTGTCTACAAAGACGAAGACCGGGCTAAAAAACGAAGACCTCCTATTAAAAGTATTTCAAAGTCATCATAAAATTATGCCAAGTACTTCTTTTATTACTATTTCATCGGAAAAGAGTAATAGGCCTAGTCCTATCAAGAGATAACAAGGGTAGGCCCTATTCGTTTTGTAGACACCCTATATGGGTGTCTAAACGTAGACCGGACCCTGAAAACGAAGACCCACGTTTTTTTCTCTTTAATTTTAAAGAAAACAGGCCTATATCAGACTCACAAAATCAAATTTAAGAGATAATCAAGAATCTTCGTTTTATAGACACAATATATGGGTGTCTATAAAACGAAGACTCTTAAAAATTTCACAAAAAGGCGTCCAAATAATCTCGTTATTTTTATTTTGTGACAGCTTGGTTTATTAGCAATAAAATAAAAGAGAAAAAATAGGGGTCTTCATTTTAGGGTTTTCGGTCTTCCTTTTTGACACCCACTTTAATGTGAGACATTAAGACATATGAATCTACCAACCTTACCATATAAAAAAAATGATCCGAGGTTTTGATGATTTTTACAGTTTAGCGATTTTTTAAGCGAAATGACATTCACTAGAGGTCGTCGATGGAATTTTCAGAAAGTCCATGTGAAATCCAAGTTTCCACAAAATGCATTTTCGTTTATAACAATCAATTGTTGGAACGCTTTATCAGGGAACAGTGAAATTTTCACTGTTCCCTGGCTTTACCAAACTCAATAGTGGACTCTTACAATTAATTCAAAAACCGCTTACAAAAACACTAGTCTGACGTCCATCCACTAAAGTTCAACCAACCCATGCATGCACCAAGATGTCAAGAAGGACACATAAGCTATAAAGTTTTACGTCTCTATATCCAGGTAGTAGATCCAACTAGGTACGTAGATGGAATTTAGTGCATTTCCAGACATGAAAACATTTCCGGAGGATCGGGAGTTGGGGGTGCACACATGACCGGCGGAACGTTTTTCAAAGTGGGGGGGGGCACTTATAAGGTAAATGGGAATATGAATCATTTGATATTTGATATTTATTAGGAATCACCTTTGAATCAGTGGCATCCATATATATAAATACAAAACAAGAATCTTAGACTACAGAAAGTCAAATACATTAATAAAATTCGAAAGAACTTAAAGCATAACAATATAATAAGAATAGCTCTATGGATGGCAAACAAATATTTTAACTATAGAGGGGGCACAACATTTTCTTCCACCTTCCTTTGCTCTCCCGTGCTTATCTGTTTATTAAGCAATCATCCACTGTTATTAATACGATGATGCTGACAAAGTTGTTAAAATCGATTTGTGAGATGAGAAAGATGTTCATTATTAAAATTGACACCCGGGGGAACAGTTGCGTTCAAAAATGGTCTACTGATTGTAAGGTAGGAAGTTAATAATGGTAGATATAATAATGAAAATTTTTGTAATTATTATATTTCTTTTCGGTATTTTAGGAGGTATATTCATATTATTAAACATTAATATTGTATTAGGCCTGTCTCTTATACACATCTACAGCGACCTCGTTGGGGCCAGTTATCTTGCCGTGACCCTCTAGCTTAGTAACCTGCAGAGAGAAAATTCATAAGATTTTTATATATCAACCAATCAATCAAAACACCATGTAATTTTCTTCTCTTTCTAAATTTTGATTTGTAGATGGCGGGAAATTACCTTTCTCGACTTTTGAGCTAGGTGTCGAACGACTTTGTTCTTCAAAATTCAAGGTTTCCCCCTCTTGAAAACGGTCAGGTAAACTTTCTCATTCTTATTACAGTAAATTTGCTGGTTATGTGTGTATACATACATACATAGAAAAAAAATATTAGTATTTGCATACATATTCTTTTTTCAATGAATCGAAAAGGGGGGTTCGGGGTTATCCCCTGGGAAGATTTTGATTCCTAAATGGTGGGAAATGAGCTTTTCCGACTTCTGAGGTGTCTTAATTACTTTTAAGTTCTTCAAAATTCTAGGTTTTCCCCCTCTTGAAAATAATTCAATGAATCAATGAACCCCCCAAAAAAAAGGTGTCCGGGTTCCCCCGGGAAAATGTTGATTCCTAGAAGGCGGGAAATGAGCTTTCCCGACTTCTGAAGTGTCTTTTAATTACTTTTAATTTCTTCAAAATTCAAGGTTTTCCCCCTCTTGAAAATGATTAAATGAATCCCAAAGAAGAAGGGGGTTCGGGTTCCCCCGGAAAAAATCGATTTCTAGAATGCGGGAAACAGGCTTTCCTGACTTCGGAAATGTCTTTTAAATTACTTTTTAAGTTCTTCAAAATTCAAGGTTTTACCCTCTTGAAGATGGTCAGGTAAATTTTTCTCATTTTTTATTTTATGTGTGTATACATACACAAATAAGTAGTTGCATGCGTATTCTTTTCCATGAATCGATAAATCCCAAAAAGAAAGGGTGGTCCGGGGGTTCTCCCCCGCGAAAATGTTGATTCCTAGATGGCAGGAAATGAGCTTTCCCGACTTCTGAAGTGTCTTTTAATTACTTTTAATTTCTTCAAAATTCAAGGTTTTCCCCCTCTTGAAAATGATTCAATGAATCAATGAACCCCAAAGAAAAAGGAGGTCCGGGTTCCCCGGGAAAATTTCGATTTCTAGAATGCGGGAAATAAGCTTTCCTGACTTTGGATATGTCTTTTAAATGACTTTTTAAGTTCTTCAAAATTCAAGGTTTTACCCTCTTGAAGACGGTCAGGTAAATTTTTCTCATTTTTTATTTTATGTGTGTATACATACATAAATAAATAAGTAGTTGCATGCGTATTCTTTTTTCCATGAATCGATAAATCCCCAAAAAGGGTGATCCGTGGGTTCTCCCCCGGGAAAATTTGATTCCTAGATGGCGGGAATGAGCTTTCCCGACATTTGAAGTGCGTTTTAATGACTTTTATGTTCTTCAAAATTCTAATTTACTTATTGTAACGTAAAAAAAACAAAAAAAACAACAGCTCACCGGTCCTGAAAAGGTAGGTCTAGAATTCTTTTTTTTTTGTTGCCCAAGGGAGGGGTCAGTACACATGACCCCCTCCCCCAAATCCGCCAATGTGAATTGCGAGAAAATGTAACTCGGTCGGGGACCTTTGATGTGCCTTTAATAAAGTTCTTCAAAATTCAAGGTTTTTTCTCCAGTCGATGAAGGCCAAAAAGCAAGGGAGTCCGAGTTCTCCACGGGAAAATTTTGATTCCTAGATGGCGGGAATTTAGCTTTCCTGGCTTTTAAGGTGTCTTTTAATGTCGGACTTTTAAGTTCTTTAAAATTTAAGGTTTTCCCTCTTAAAAACCGCAGGTATTTTCTCATTCATTCTTATTTACAGTAAATAGGCAATATTATATATGTATACCGGTATACATACAGGAAAAAATTGAGTTGTTGCATACGTATTCTTTTTTCCATGAATCGATAAACTTCAAAAAGAAAGGAGGGTGGGATTTTAGAATCCCTCCCCCGGCGGAAAAATTTCGATTGATGGCCGGCGAGAAATGAGCTGGTTAAAAAAAAAAAAATTCAGCTCATATATTGTGTCCGCCGGGTCCCTGAAAAGGTAGGCCTAGGTCAATATATTTTTTGTTTCGCTAAAGTACTCTAAAGTGCGCCCGCTTCAATATGGATAGAGGTCGGGCGCCCGCTGGCAGAACAAGTCAAAATCGAACGACGTTGTCGTTATCTTTTCGTTAGCGTTGGTTAGCGGGAGTGCAATTATGTCGAAGTGTTCGGCTGTCGGTTGTGGCCGTAGAGTTGCTCGTAACTCCAAATCATTAAATCACTCTTTTTATCGTTTTCCGAGAGAAAAAGAGAGGTACTGTATTTAAAATTTAGGTAGCTTTACCCATGCCTAGTAGTACGTAGGAAACTAGATCAATCAAGGCATAGGCCTAGCCTAGGCCTAGTTATTGTTTGTACAGTCTAGTAGAAGGCCTAGCCTAGCTGGCCTTTTTTAAGTTTTATGTATCGGCTAGGCCAAGCCAGGCTTAAAGACGGGCAAGGCTGGCTATAGTAGTAGTACACTATCTAGGCCTAGCCGAGAAGGTAGCCCTACAGAATTTGAGTCAACTCGGACTTATTTTCTCTATTTACGAAATAATTAAGAGATTTGAATGCAAAGCAGAAATCGTTTCCTTTGCTTTTCCTTTTTCATTTCCACCGGTAGCCAATAATTTTGGTCGTGCTTCGTTTCGGTCGGACGTCACTTAGTTTAGGTCGCGTTTCATTTCAGTCGCGCTTTCATGCAAATGTATATGCCTAGAGTGCCTATGGAGTAGCTAAAACGCAAAATCTAATACACTGTATCGTATGCCTATAATATCATTACTAAGTCCGTCAATCCGTTTTTTTTTTCCGTTTGTTAACTTTATAACAACATTAACATTTCAATCAATATATTATCATAATGAAAATAATGGAATTTAAGGTATGTGTATGCTCATCTTTTTGTTGCATTTTTCATATTATACTTATTTTGCTTCTAAATGAAATATAGATTTAACTCATTAACTTATAAACTGATGCCAATATTATTCGTCAATGGGTTGTTTGTCAATCAGTTTTCCATAAGTTTTTTTTTTTGTTTTGTTTTGTTGTGTTTTCAATAACAGCATAATTTAATAAAATCAAACTTTTTATTCCTGATGATGACATAATTAATGTCGAAATATTGAATCCCAACACGATGGCGTGTATTTCAAACTTTTTATCACACTTGTGTTTTTAATACCAACATCCTATTTATATTTGCTTCGATTTTATGGACGCTTTTTAATTTTTGTATTGTTATCTTTCTACTACCAACATATTTAACAGCAGATAAAATGAATACAGTAGTAACAAATTGGTATGTCTCTTTTTGTTGCTTTTTTGTTTTTTATACTTTTTTATTGTTATTTTACTTCTTCATGTACTACGTGAAATATAGATTAGTCAATTTATTAATCATTTTACATGATATATACAGTACCACTTCGTACGCATAAGGAAAACTTAAAAGTATTTGGAATATTGTTTGTTATTCAGTACAATGATAATTTTGATACTACAGTACTAAAATATTAATTATTTATCTTCCTCAAATAGTGGATTACAGCCACTCTAAACTCATGATCTCAGAAGTAGGCTTATTTTAACCATGTTATAATACAAATACTTGCTATAGTATGGATTTGTTTTTGTTAGTATATCTCTGCCAATTTACGTTGTACTGTATGGATGCTTAACCAACCAGCTGAATTTAATAGAACATATAACCATGTTTTAAGTTTACATGTAGCAACAGTATTGGTTCTTTTCCAATTATTTTTATTCTGAGAAATATTGTAGAAAGGGAGAGCATTAAATTATCTGTGCTACTATCTTTTAGATTGATGAATAAAACATTGTTTTCAGCCAAATTCTGCGCCACTTCCATTTCAGACGCTCCACGGCTCAGCCACTGCTTGCTCTATTTATACTTGGCTTTGGTGAAAAGAAAAACCTAGGCCTAGTGTGTGCAAAAAAATATTGTATTGTAGCCATTGCCTCAGCTAAACATAATGCCTGCATAGCCAATGCTCACGCCTCAACGTAGGCTACTGCATCGCCATTGTACACTGCATCGCGTAAACAATACCAGTGAAAAAATGCTTAGTAGGCTTGTGACATCGCATCGGCGTAAGCATAACCTTTTAAATAATGCTTACACCTTTGACGTAACAAGCTACCCTGCGCATGCTCAGTAGATTTGCGTAAGCATAGCCTATGATTAATGTTTACGTCTCTGCGTAAATGTAATAGATGGGAGTGGGGCTGATAAAATACCATATTGAGGAACAATGTTTAAGTGGGGTTCTCAATATTTGTTTTTGTTTTCTTAAAATTCCAGATGTACAAAGTGGATCGAAAATAGTGGAAGACATGATCTACTACAGAAGTCAATTGATTATATCTACAGTAATCACAGGATCTGCTCAGATCATTTTGAGAGGTCTCAGTTGCTGTGTACAGGCAGATTAGTGTGGAATGCTATTCCAACTAAATTTGGCTCCACGAATCCACCACATCCGATACTTTTCAAACGTATAGTGCCAGTACCGATATTACTGAAAAAAGGAAATAACCAAACAAGTGGTAGAGTGAATCCGCTTTTTAAGTTAAACAAAAACATACCAAATGAATTCTTTTTGTTAGGTATTTTATTTTTGGCAGTGGCTACACCAGTCTTAGATTCACAATTTTCATTGGATGATAATTTCTTATTTCATTCATGTTAAGTAACACGCATCATAATTAAGAATTTGTTTAAAGGCTGGTGTATCAGTTATAGCCACTGCTTTTTTTTCTTTTTTTTTACATATATTTATTTACTTTTTCAGTATACTAAACATTTATCACAATATAATAAATATATATTGACCAGGGCCCAGTGTGAATAGGGGTGACATGGGCTAAAGCCCAACAAGCCCAACATGTCTAATGGTCATCTCTAATCCCCTGGCCAACACCAGTACAATAAAAATACAGTTAAACTTAGCTAAGTCGACTTTGCCTACCTCAAGTAATTTCTAAGTCGATCTTGTTTTACATGCCAAATTGTAGTGTCCAGTAATTAACAACCTGTAAGTCAAATTTTATCTAAGTCAAACAATTGGATTCGACTTAGGCAAGTTCAACTGTATATAATAATAATAATGAAATGAAAGGAAGAAAGAAATAAATGCAATTTAAACATTCATTATAATATATAAAATAATTTAAAAAAAATTAAAAATACCTCAGATTAAATCTTCATATATATAAATAGTTATTATATACAGTACAAATTTTAAAATCATATTGCACACAGTACCAATTGGCTTGAACGTCTCATCCAATAGACTCTGTACTATCATGACTTGTATTTTGGCCCTTCAGCTGAAACTCAAGAAAAGTAGGGAATTGATCCAAAGTATCTCCACGGTTATGTACACATACACACACACAGTGGCTACCACCAGTTTAGCTGCTGCTCTTACAATATCATTAAAATTTAGATCTTTAGCTTAAAAATCAGAAATTCATTTTAAATTTATCATTCTGTGTTTGTTATTGCTCTTTATCTCTATTATGACTATAATCATAGGTGCGACAAGAGCAGAGGTAGAACACAGCTATGCAAGACATAACAACATAGGTCACTCCAGCACAAACGGTAAATTACGGATAAAACTATTGAAATTTTACTTTCTGTACATGTCAATATTTGTTAAAAGTGTTCATACATGAGATATGGATGGTGGAGAGTTGGGGGCCAGGGCTATATTGAGGCTTTAATAGAGGGTTGAAGCCTAAATGCCTTTTAAGCCGGTAAGCCCCTTTGCTAAGCCTACCGTTGGTACAGCCAACCAATAAATATTGCACCCTCTCTGGCAATATTGTGTGGCCTTTTTCCTGTTGTCTTTTAGAGCACAGTGCGATTTTGGTAAATGGTAGTTCAAGTCCATAAGAATTTTCAGAAAATATGTAGCACAAGTGTCTCAGTCTTGAAGTGGCTGCGGCACCTCCCTGTTTGGTTGGTATGCAAGTGAGCTCCCCGGGTGTCATAATCATGGGAAAATGATAAAATTGTTTTTACTACTGTACTATGATTTTATCGTTTTCCCATGATTATCACATCTTTTGACTTAATTTGTGAAAATATTTTTTTCATCATATACACGATAAATCGTTATCGAATTGTGCTAGTGTGAAAACTTATTTTTTTTTTTTTCTATATAAACAATTGCTTTTTTGGTTTTTATTATTGATTGTTGTCATCAAAGTGTAAACAGACCTTAAATGTCTGCTTAAAGTGTATGGTGCCAGCCTGACTTAATTTTAGGTTACTATTATGGTGGTGATTTATTATTTGGTCTTAAAATGTTATGATTCTGCTTACTTGTTAGGTCCTGTCACACCTGTTCAGGTGACAAGAAATGTTAACGTTGCAGAAAAGGTTGCAGAATCAGGTACAGAGCCGAGTACTCAACGTGCACCAGATGTGTATGCGAAGTACAAGATAGATATGGCGTTTCACAACTATGCAAAGTATTATTCAAACGGAACTGAGCCAGACGTACAGTCTTACCAACACTCTAGTATGAACTGTCCCTATTATAAAATTCAAACATATATTTGTACATATTGAAATTATAATATTCAAAATTTGTTAAGCCTGTATTGAAAATGTGTTGCCACTTGAAGATGACAAAAAATAATTAAAAAATAATTTTGAATTAACTTATACTCTGATTTTTATATTTTTCTATGTTCAAGTTGATGATTTTTATGTTGCTTCTAAATGAGCAAGTTTTTTTTCAATGATGTTTTTTAGTGATTTTTTAAAATATTTTTCATGGGACAATCTCTATGTAAATTATTCCTAAACATTAAAAATATACATATTCTGTTTATGTGTACTGTATTTATAGATAAATGTAATTTGTTTATTTGAATTTTTATATTCAATTTTCCATGTAAACCATTAATTGATTATTTTTGGTTTATAGTTGGCATGTTTTTTGTAATTTTACTTGTGTTTTGAATGCAATATTATTATTTGATTTTGAAACCTGCAAATATTTTTTAGTTTTGTTGATGCATTTGAGAAACCTACAGTGGATTGTGTTTTACTATAGTTAGTCCTTGAAATGCATATTTTCTCCTGGAATGTAATAAATAAAGCTAATTACGGATAGGTTGATAAAAGTTAGATATTTTTAACTGGTCATTTGTGATTGTTTAAATTATTTCTTTGTTCTGCTTGCTTTGTAGTTCCTTGTACACGCCCTGAAGTTAGAGACAAGAGCACGCAAAAGGGCGAAATTTCCAAAAATAGTAAGAAAAAAAGTGAGTCAGCAAAAAGAGTAGAGTTGTACAGACTGAGGTGTAAAGTAAAGAAGTTACAGTCACGTGTGAACCATTTCAACGAATGCACTTTAAGTACAACCGAAAAAATTATTGCAAGTGCTAAGGAGTATCTCAATGAAACATCGCTGCAGTTTTTTGCATGCCAATTGAGAATGTCAAGTAGAAGAGGCAAAGGGAGGCGATACACAGATGAGGATATGAAATTGGCCTTTGACCTATACAAGCAAAATTCCAAGGCGTACAGATTTTGTAAGAAAATTTTTACGCTGCCAATTGCGTCATCATTGAGAAGATGGGTGAAAAAGATGAATGCAGAGGCGGATCCTAATACCCCACGTTTGGAATTACCTATGAGAAAGAGCGCGAAGAAGAAGAAGCCCGGAAAAAGAGGTCGCCCTAAGAAGGTGAAGCAAAAATCAGGACCTGATGAGACACCATCAGGATTATTGCAGGAAAAAGGCACGACCAAGCCTCAAAGGAAAGTTGGCCCCAAGAAAAAGAAGCAACAATCTAGTTTGAACAATGTTCCACCAAGTAACCCTTCTGACAATATTCTGGTACGTAACACTTCAACCAATATTCCTTGTGACTCGATTGTTTCAAACAATACATCTAGTTCTAACACCACAATTCCTGTAGTAATTATGGGAAATGGCATGACTGAGGCCGAAACAAGTGTACTGTGTCTTTCAACATTTAATGGAATGATTATATGAGTGAAAACTTGTCTACTCAAGCCCTCATGTTTATTAATGGTCAAAAAGCTCTCATGTGGGTGGACACCTGACAATACTCAAACACTGGAGTGTGTTTATTTCAAAGTCAAAAATTAAAACTTATCAAAAGTGTTTTTTCATTAGTATTTCAACTTTTTTCATTTAGTAAGAAAGATAACAGACAAAATTGACCAGCATATGGACCAGTGGTTTTCAAACTGGGCCAATTCCCAAAACAAATGTACATCCAGGCAGTGTGCCATGACCCAGTTCCCAGGACATTTAAATACAGATAAAATTTTAAAGTCAGGCTCCGGAGGAAAAAAATTGTTTGATATGTTGTAGAACTGATTTTTCTAAGACAGAAAAAAGTTGTTGGACGAAAACTGGGGAACGGTGAATGAGATACAGATTTTTTAATATTTAAAAACTGCAAGGGGCGTAACTGCCCATTTTTACATCTTATTCCCCCAGTTTTTAAATATTAAAAAATCTGTATCTCATTCACCGTTCCCCCAGTTTTTCGTCAAACAACCTTTTCCTGTCTTGGAAAAATCAGTTCTACAACATATCAAAAAATTTTTTTCCTCCGGAGCCTGACTTTAAAAGACATTCTGGAATCTCGCGAACCTTTTAATTTATTTGGCAACCCGATTTTGGGTTGTGACACTGTTTGAGAACTGACGATAGAATGTTAATTATCGCCTTAATTTTCGTGTTTAAATATCTAATTTGTTTTAAATATCAATAACAGAATCTTTACCAATACTAGGAAAAAGTTAGCCTGAGGCTAGCAGAAATGTCTACATTTGACAGAAAATATAATATCGAGGTATGAACCAAATAATGTATATATTTATTCAAAATGAAATACAGTACAGTTTAAGTACCATAACTCTAAGTAGAGAAAAAAAAATTTTTCATGAGCATTATTTAAAACAATGGGAATTTCATTTTAATGAAAATCATTATTTTTTGGTTAAAAAGCAAAGGACCTAGATTGGTTCCTTGTGGTACTAGGCAGAAGATGCTCCTTCCATTTTATTTGTTTCAATTTTTGTAAATACCAAAGTTTGTTGGTTTTTAAATACAGTATAGACAGTGGCTATTGTTACCGCAGATTTCAACAAATTCTCAATTCTGATTGCATTTTATTGTCTATATCCAATCCATGCTTACAATAATATCCAATCAGAATTAGGAATTTATTTAAGACATGTAATAATAGCCACTGTCTTATATAATATTATAAGTAATTAATGACCAAAGATCTTATAATACAAAATTAGCATTCTCTACAATTTCTGCACCCAAATCCTGTAACAATGAAGTGTAGTGCTCCCTCTTGCAATTGCTTTTCAACTTTAACATCTATTATCTTTGTGAAAATTCTTACCGTAACAACCAAGGTGACAACTAGGACGCCCTCTCTCAATTACATTTACTTTCTGTTGCTTTATGTGTCAATGGACACTTGTTCTTGCATGTTATTGCTGAGAACACTTTTATTATTATAAGATCTTTGTTTAGTGACTTAATGTACATTATCGGAAGGTTTTGTGAAATGCAAGAACCTACAAGGTGTATGATTCACTGCCAAAAATATTCGGAATATGTGCTGAGTTAGATGTAATGGCAAACCATTCATGTAGTCAGTGGTGTATCCACAGAGAGATGTGCCCTTCAAAAACCCAACCCCCTCCTATGTGCCTTCTTCCCCTTCCTGGAAAATTTCTCCAGTAGTTAAAAAAAATACCTTGTATCACCACATTTGCCAATTAGCCCCATCTCCTCTGATATTCATGGAGCTCCCATTTTATATCAAGAAAAATTAGGTTTATAATTCCCCAACCCCTCACCGCCCCCCGCCCCCCAATTCCAATTGTCAATACTCCTTGCTACACCACTGAATTGAGTGGAATAAGGATGGTACTACAGTACAGTTCTGTATTAGGAACACAGTGTGATAAGATAGTGTCAGTGAATTACCTGTAATTATAGCAAGTCTTTTTTTTACTTTTCGGGTCACTCGAAGGGTATGCAGCACTGTACCTTCGTATTGAAACAATTTATCGACTTCATACTATAACTATAATACTAGCATCTTCAGGGTCGATGCCTGCTTTCTTAATGCCAGTAAAGTTGAATCTTTCTGGAGTGTCAATCAAACTTAACAACTGACCAATCTGAACTTGGCCGGGAATACATTCGTGTCTATAGAGAAACGCACACATTGTCTCACAAATGCATGTGTTTGCATATGTTTTTTCACTGTCATTTTGTAGGACCTTAGAAGCAAGGTGGAGCTGTTGCGGAAAGGTCTATTGGAATAAATTGATAGAAATTTGTATATGTTAATTCATGTTAATTTTCAAATGTTAATATCTTAAGCATTTTGATTTGTTGGCATATGGAGTAAGCAGATACCTGTACTGATTGTGAGGGGTATTCTCTCAGATGACTTCTGTTTCAAATGGAACACAAGAAAGTCATTCCCCCATTTGTTGTACAGTTGTATATTTTGATAGAATAAAACGTTCATTGCTGTTGGATATTCTAACACTACTGCATCCGAACAATTATTTACCATGTTAGTCAATACTAAGTGAAAGGAAGGAAGTTAGAGAGATGGTAGGTGGTTGAGTACTTGGCATGTTGTTTGGGCGAGCAAATGTTTGGCCATAAGTGGTATGTGTGCACCGACACAGACATAAACCTCCCCTTGTTGGAAACAGTGGTGGCACCAGCAAAGAGTCATAGAAGCATTATCACCCATCGGACAGGCCTGTATACTTCCGTTGTGTGACACCACGATGAGGTCAAACTATTATAATTTTCCTATCCAAATAACATTATTTTTATTGTCAATTCCTAATAAAAATAGAATAAATGAATAAATAAATTGTGGTATAAAAGCACAATTTGGGGCATACTAGGCCATAAAAATTCTCCCTGTGAACCCTAATAAAGGGATTTTTATTCCAGGACCTTGAGCGAGGCTTTAGTCGCCCCTTGGTTCGGACCTCCCCCCTCCCCCTGCCTCCTGTCAGCAAATTTCTGGAGTCACCACCACCACTGGACGTCTGTGACAAGAAATTTCTTTATAGAAGTTTATCCTTTCAGCTCTGGCTAGGCTGATACTTTTGGGCCCCAACAATGTTAAAATGAAAAAAAAGAATAACAGACAAGAACACAATTACAGTACAAGCAACAATAAGGCCTACAAGAATATAAATGGAATTTAAATCTAGTCTCTTTAGACAATGTGCGGCTGACCAGAAAGTGCTCATCTCTCACCGGGACACACATTCACTTTGACCTACGCAACTATCGATCGATGTTACTTTTTGCTAAATAACTACGAAACATTGTCTATGAGCTAATAAAAAAAATCTAATTCCCCATATTTGAATTGTATCAAGCATCAAGAAAAGATCGTAATTTCATAATTCAATTGTTTGAAATATGACAATAAAGTTACTCTTATCTTTTAAAATGCTTTCTGGTCAAAACGGCAACACTTTTTGACCAGAACGGCAATGGACTAAAACGGCAACATGAAAGTGTACACGATTAAATACGGTAAAAATGAGGCTAAATTTGTCATAACAATATAATACTACAAATTCAATAATAAAAAGATTGGGGAACACAATATAAAATTGAATATTTAAATAAGTAAAACTTTAAAATACGGACAAAATGAAGCTAAACAAGTTATACAATAATAAAAATAATAATAATAATAATAATGATAATAATAATAATAATAATAATAATAATAATAATAATTCAATAATAAAGATTCAGGGAAACACTATAAATGCTTGATAAAAGCAGTAAGCATTTAAATAAATAAAACTTTCAAAAATACAGACAAAATCAGGCTCAACAATCTATGTCATAAAAGTTTAAAACGCGAAATAATAATAATAATAATAATAATAATAATAATAATAATAATAATAATAATAATAATAATAATAATAATAAATGAAACTATAAAATATAGGCCATAGACAAAATGAAGCATCTAAATAATTTCTCATAGACGTGTAATAAATATAAAGAAAAACCGCGATTAAGCATTAAAAAGTGGAAAAAAGAGCCCATGGCAATATATTCGATTTGCAAAACGGATTCAGAAAATTATGCGACTAGTCTTGATTTTGCTCCTTTGCCGTTTTATTGCCGTTTTGGTACTTGTCATTGCCGTTTTGGTCTGTTGCCGTTTAAGTACTTTCATTGCAGTTTCGATTGCCGTTTTGGTTTATTGCCGTTTTGTTGACCTGCTACATTTAAATCGAAAATTAGCTTGCTTTGGAATGCCATGCTCTCTTCTTTGTTATTTCTTTTCCTTTCCTCTCTTTTTCATTTTTAGTGGGCGGGATGGGGCTCCACTCCTGATATCTAAGGGGCGGTGCTTATTATGCACACGTCAAACGCACTCTGTTGATTTTGGTCGAATCAAAGGCGGTATTCAACTGGTCGTTCTTTCTTTAAACCACGCCCACCTGTAGGCACGATAATAACTAGGCCTAAATCTATACTTAAACACTGTGACCACTGCTTGGGATCTATCCCAAGATCTTGGGATTTTTAATGACACCTTGGGATCTTGGCATTTTTTGTTAAATTGTCAATGTCATTAAATTTTTGGAATTATATGGAATTTTTTATTTTGTTTTTATCAATAAGTCCATGACCTTTATAACACCAATAACACCAGTTGACAGTTGTGATTGCGGATGAGGGTTGTTATTTGTTCAAAAAGAACTATATGTTGTCTAATATTCATTTTAATCATTTTCCAAAAATAATAAGGTGCATTTAAGCTAAATCTCTTGATATGTGTCCCATTTGACGCTATGCTGTTTGCTTCAGCGAGGGTAGTAAAGTTGAGCAATAATTATCATCGTTGGTATTATTAATTATTATGCATGATTGGATTCATAGAAGAAGACTTATTTCCAGCGGGGTCCTTCTGGTGGTGATTGTCAGTACACCGTGAGACAATCCCCTTTTCCGAAGAGTAACGTGCACATGGACCATAATGCACAAGGGACCAAAGACGGTGCGCTATTGTAACTTGTATTTCAGGCCTCCGGCTGAAACACAAGGAGAGGCAGCGATAGGAATTGAACCGGGGACCTAGAGATCTCCACCACCAGATTAGCCGACTGAGCTAAGCTGCTCTCTTGTAATTTCTCTTGCATTATTTATTTTTTTCATTTTTTATTTTATTATTTTTTTTCCCATGTTTATTATCTGATAATATTCATATCATTACCACTATTATGTATATTACATTGTATATAATCGTATGGTTTATACTTGGCAATTATGATCTATTTTTTCAACTTATCTTCATTTGTAAGGCGCCACGTTTCAAAACCTGCTTCTTGTGATGGCCATTTTCCAAGTACAAGTTTTCCAAGTACAAGTATATAT